GGGGGGGGGGGGAGCCGGGGGAGGGGAGGGGCCTCATGCCACAGAGTCCACCCTCCGGAGCAGCCCTTTTCTCCAGGGGGGAGCTGATCCCCCTATTGTCTGGAGACCACTGGTCACAGTGGGTGCCGCCTGGAGGTTGACAACGCTATCCAGTCACAGCAGGAGCCACCAGAAAACTTCCCTGCTGCCACAACATGGGCAACAGAGGCATCCACTTGACGTCTGCACTATGGACAAGAAAGAAAAAATTGACTCTGCTGAAAAGGCACGTGGATTTCTGCATCAACACAGTCGTCCTGCAGGAGGAGGAGAAGAGGAGGAGGAAGGCAGCACCGAATACAGTGAAGAAGAGGGAGCAGCGACACCTTCAGACCAGGACTCAGACTCTAAACTGGGGGCGGCAGCCCCAAAGACAAGTTACCATTTGAGAAAGAAAAAGTATAAAAGATGAGATGTTATTGCACTTTGGAATCTCTTACAATGTTTTGTTATAATTATTTCTTTTATTGCTCTTCAAGAAGTCAGATACGGTGGTGTTTAAATCTTTACTTTAGTTTAAATGGAATATTAGATGACCACATTCAATGAACTTGAATCGAAGGTTGAGTTATAAGCTAACTTGTTAAGCAGTAGGTATGACCATCCTCTCTTGGGTTTTTAGTGGGTTTTCTTTACTTTCTCCTATAGATTGTAGATCCCCCTCCCTAATTCTCATTTTAGTTTATAGAAAATGCAATAAAAAATCCCCTATGGGGGGGCTAAATAAATATAAAAAAGAACTATTTATTTATTTATTATTTGCATTTGTATCCCGCCCATCCCGCGGGTGGGCTCAGGGCAGGTAACGTCACTAAAATAAATACAATTTCAGTTTAAAACATTAAAACACGATAAAACATTATAACCATTAAAACAATGGGTACAGCTTGGAAGGAGCTGCGGTGGCTCAAGTGGTTAAGACGCTAAACTGCAGGCTGTGGAAGGTCAGTAGTTCAGCAGTTCGAGACCCGAGTGTGCCACGTGACGGAGTGAGCTCCTGTCTCTGGCCCCAGCTCCTGCCAACCTAGCAGTTCGAAAGCAAGAAACTGCAAGTAGATAAATAGGTACCACTTCAGTGGGAAGGTAACAGCGTTCTGTTGCCGGCCACATGACCACGGAAATGTCTTCGGACAGCGCTGGCTCTTCGGCTTGGAAACGGAGATGAGCACCGCAACCCTAGAGTCGGATTCGAACCTTTACCTTTACAGCTTGGAAGAGCATAAGTTGGCTATAAAAATTCTGTCCTGATGGTGCCATGAGTTCAAAGGCCAGTTGTCGGTGGTCAGTAGACAGGTGACAGATGGGTGAGAGCGACCTCGGGGGGTGGGGGGCCGTAGATGGGCGCCTCAACCAAAAGCCTGGCGGAAGAGCTCCGCCTTGCAGGCCCTGCAGAATTGGAGGAGATCCCGCGGGGGGCGGGGGTGCTGGTCTCAATGGCACTTTCAATCAAGAACAGAATCACACCGTGAAATAAGAGACATCGGCCCTACAGGATAACATTAACATATTGGATACTTTTGTCCACATAGTCCTGTGTACTTGTGGGGTGGTTTTTTTTAGCACAAAATTCGCCTAACAGTTAATCTCAAACACTTTTGGACCTTTGCCAGGGTTCGCCAACAGACAACAATGTTAAGCTACAGGCTCAGATCACACTTCCAAAGGCCACATGGTATAACAGAACCAAAAGGGAGTCCCTGCTGTGAACATCCAACTCAATGGAAAACAGCACGTGAACAAGCCTTGGAGGTCCGCCATTTTGTGGCCGTGCCCACAACTCTGTGCCAGAATTCCACAGGCACCTACAGGATCAAAAAGGTTGGGGACCCTGACCTACAACACGCAGGACACTTGGGTTACAGAAATAGGCCAGATTGATCACCGTCACGCTAAGCAGTTAACAACTTAGTAGCTAACACAACAAAGCAACCAGACTACTGATCCAGTTGCATTATTATATCCACTAGGAGTTAAAATTCTTGAAGGATGAGTTTTCAAATCATGTACAACCGTTCCTCAAATATGGGTGTACGTGGACTCTTTTGATTTTTTTTTTTTAAAGCAACAGTATTACACAAAAAGTAGTCTTCAGCTCCATCTAACACTTAATCAGGAGCAATGCTCCCTCTAAGCTTTGGAGTCTTGTGAACAAAAATTCTACATTGTGAGCTACTGGCAATAAAGTTATGAGCGAGCGATTTGGCTGCTGCATCAATTAGTTGGCTCTGGAGCCCTCCTTCCTGAGCTAAGACAAAAAGGTGTGAGCCAGAGGCTAAAAAACTGTGAGCTGGCTCACACTCACTCAGCTTAGAGAGAACACTGATCAGGAGTAATTCTACATAGGGTTGCATTACTGGCATCAATAACAGTGTTCTTTAAACACCCCCCCCCCCAAATATTACCATATTCACCTACATCCATTAAACCATGATGCTTGTCTTTAACACTCCTCCTCAACAGCCTGTTATGCGAGTCCGGCCTCTCAGCCCGATTCACATCTACAGAGAAGTCTTCCATGTTCTATACCAGTCTAACAACATTGGCACATCTCCTTGGGATGCATCTATAGAGATTCTCGTTAAGCTTTGAGCTGCATTACAAGAGACATTTGAAGCTAGACAGCAGCGTTTCAACAGAACAGGTTGGCTAGACACACCCCCTTGGAGGGTGGGGCAAAGAAAGAAAGCCTTTCCCTTGCCTATTTTATCTATTTCCTTAAGGCATTTGGAGGAATTGGATAGTACTGTGTGCAGTTCTGGAGGCCTCACTTCAAAAAGGATGTGGGCAAAATCGAGAGGGTGCAGAAGAGAATGACGAGGATGATCAGGGGTCTGGAGACTGAGCCCTACGAGGAAAGGCTTAGGGCCCTGGGAATTTTTAGTTTGGAGAAGATGAGATTGAGGGGGGACACAATTGCTCTCTGTAAATATTTGAAAGGCCATCATTTGGAGGAGGGCAAGGAGCCGTTCCAGTGGGCAGCAGAGGAGAGGACCCGAAGCAGCGGCTTTAAATTCCATGCAGAAGGGTATCGGCTGGATATTAGGAAAAACTTTTTCACCGTCACAGAGTGGCTCAAAGGTGGAATCAGCTGCCTAGGGAGTTGGTGAGCTCCCCTTCACCGGCAGATTTCAAGAAGAGGCTGGACGGATATTTGTCAGAGATGCTTTTGGCTGGTCCTGCACTGGGCAGGGAGTTGGACTAGATGGTCTGTATGGCTCCTTCCCACTCTGTGATTCTATGAATTTCTACAATGAACACAGCTCTCCACTGCACATGGCAGCAGAGGGGCTGCAGTCCTTGACCTACAGGATGCCACAGAGGGGATTAGTGCAGAGGCCGCACAGGTTTGGCTTCTTCAGTCCCTCCAACAAACCTCACACGGCCAGCCAGAAAAAGAAAAATCCCCCAGCATTTCCATCTGCCCAGACCTTTCCTCCAGAGGGCTGCAGCCCTTTCCCCCACGCCACCTCCTCTTTCAACAAGACTGAAAACAGAACATCGAGAATAGCCCCACTTACATTTTAACATCACAGGATTTTTCGTGGTTACAGAAGGGGCAAGTAAACTGTGTCTCCAGCGTGCCCGTCATCTTCTTCTTGGGCGGAGGCTTTCGCTTTGACTTTCGGCGTCCCATCTCTGCCTGCCGGACGTAGGAGAGTGAGGAAGAGTTAGGTGGAAAGGACCAGGATATGCCAGAAGCTTCACTGAGAGCCCTCCCACCCCACATGGCAGAAACACCGAACAGGCCTTGGGAAATAAGGGGTAACGTGAACGTTGGGGTTGGCAGAGCCAGGACTTGGTGGCTCATGGGAGCAGCATGTGAGGTAAGAGGCAGATCCAGGTGGGGTCGCCGTGTTCGTCTGAAGCAGCAGAACAAAGTCTGAGTCCAGTCGGGCACCTTGAAGACCAACCACGTTTCTCTGGGTATAAGATGAAGTGTGCGTGCACTCTAAGCTGAGTGTGAGCCAGCTCACAGTTCTTTTAGCTTCTGGCTCACACATTTTTGTTTTCGCTCAGGAAAGAGGACTCCAGTGCAGTGTTCCCTCTAAGCTGAGTTAGTGTGAGCTAGCTCACAGGTTTTTAGCCTCTGGCTCACACATTTTTGTCTTCGCTCAGGAAGGAGGACTCCAGTGCAGTGTTCCCTCTCAGCTGAGTTAGTGTGAGCTAGCTCACAGGTTTTTAGCCTCTAGCTCACACATTTTTGTCTTCGCTCAGGAAGGAGGACTCCAGTTCAGTATTCCCTCTAACCTGAGTTAGTGTGTAGCCTCCGGCTCACACATTTTTGTCTTCGCTCAGGAAGGAGGGCTCCAGAGCAGACTAATTCATGCAGCGGCCAAATTGCTTGCTCACCACTTTAATGCCGGGAGCTCACAAAGTAGAATTTTTGCTCACAAGACTCCAGAGCTCAGAGGAAGCAGTGCAACCAGTGCTCCCTCTGAGTTAGCATGAGCCAGCTCACAGTCTTTTAGCCTCCGGCTCACACGCTTTTGTCATAGCTCAGGAAGGAGGGCTTCAGAGCAAGCTAACTCATGCAGCGGCCAAATCGCTCGCTCACAA